TGAACCCAAATCCTGTTGGCATCACTTCTAGATTATCTAGGTGAACCTAAACCCTGTTGGCCTCACTTTCAAATTATGTTAGTGAACCCAAATCCTGTTGGCCTCACTTCTAGATTATCTAGGTGAACCTAAACCCTTTTGGCCTCACTTCTAAGTTATCTAGGTGAACCCAAACCTTGTTGGCCTCTCTTCCAGATTTTCTAGGTGAACCCAAACCCTATTGGCCTCATTTTCATGATTAATATCCTTCTTCATTATCTTTTGTACTGTTGTCTGGGATATGTAGAAAGATTTTGCCACTGACGTTTTTGTTCGTGGCTTCTCACCTGTTACAAGACACCGTAGCTTGCTTACCGTGGCTAGTACTCGATTTGTTGCAGGTCCTTTCTGAATGGTCCTTGGTGTTCCAAGTTGATCCATATTCCTTTGTTTTCCAATTCTACCAAGTACAATTGGATATCCATTCTTGGAAATTCTAAATCACCGAACCAAACACACCTTAACTGAGTGTATGAACATCTTGCGCCGGAAAGGACTGTTACGTATCTTTAACAAAAGCAATAAATATAACAACAGTGTCTACCAAACACAAACAATCTAAATATAACAACAATGTCTATCAAACACAAACAAACTAAATATAACAACAATGTCTACCAAACGGAAACAATCTAAGTATAACAACAGTACCTATCAAACACAAACAATCTAAGTATAACAACAATGTCTACCAAACACAAGCAATATAAATATAACAACAATGTCTATCAAACACAAACAATCTAAATATAACAACATTACCTATCAAACACAAACAATCTAAGTATAACAGCAATGTCTACCAAACACAAACAATCTAAATATAACAACAATGTCTACCAAACACAAACAATCTAAATATAACAACAGTGTCTACCAAACGCAAACAATTTAAGTATAACAACAGTACCTATCAAACAGAACAATCTAAGTATAACAGCAACGTCTACCAAACACAAACAATCTAAATATAACAACAATGTCTACCAAACACAAACAATCTAAATATAACAACAGTGTCTACCAAACGCAAACAATTTAAGTATAACAACAGTACCTATCAAACAGAAACAATCTAAGTATAACAACAGTACTTATCAAACACAAACAATCTAAGTATAACAACAATGTCTACCAAACACAAACAATCTAAATATAACAACAATGTCTACCAAACACAAACAATCTAAATATAACAACAGTGTCTACCAAACACAAACAATTTAAATATAACAACAGTACCTATCAAACAGAAACAGTCTAAGTATAACAACAATGTCTACGAAACAGAAACAAAGCAAATATGACTACATCTACCAAACGAAAACTCAAATATAGCTAATTCTGACAGACATTTTCAATTTGAATATAACTTTAGAGAACGGCTAGATCGTGTGAGTGCAGCAGTGAGGTATGATTGCTAAAGAAGTGTTTTAATTATTTAATTCTTAGTCTATATTAATAATGTGTTATTGATTAAAACTAAGCCTTATTATTTCAACAGGTACACTTTCTTGTTCACAACCTATTACTTCTAATATGCACGATTTACTTTTAAGACTTGAAGTAGGAATATATATATAATGTAAATAACTATTTTTCTTTCTGTTCGGTTTAAATTAACCTAGTGAAAGACACTGATGTCGTTGGATTAGCTGCACGTCTGTACGGTTTGTTTGTTTTTTAATTTCGCGCAAAGCTACATGAGGGCTATCTGCGCCCCTAATCTAGCAGTGAAATACTAGAGGGATGGTAGCTAGTCAACACCACCCACCGACGACTCTTTGGTTACTCTTTTGTCAACGAATAGTGGGATTCACCAACACATTATATCGCCCTCACAGCTGAAAGGGTGAATCTGTTCGGTGAGAGAGATTCGAATCCGCGGCCCATAGATTGTGAGAGGAGCACCCTAACTTTCAGGCCATGCCAGGCCCTTCACTGTTGGGATAGTTGGTTCCTTTCAGTGCACCACAATGACCCTTAAAAAGATCAAGGTTGCTTTTCTCTTCGCGAGTAAAACTGGGACATAATAGAACTACGTCCCATCTGTCGTTTTGACAGATGGTTCATTGTATTGCACTACAATGACCTTTAAAAATATCAAGGTCACACGTGAGAAATGAAGAAGTTTTCTTACTTAAATTGCGGAAAATTACAGTAGTCGTGAACGCAGGCGTTCGTAAATCAGACTTGAAATAATTCAGTCGCCTAGAAGACTAAATAGACACATTAATAATTCAACAGATAAATTTTTAACATAAAAAACAGTCATGAATCGTTAAGCAAAACGTAAACAGAATTACGGATTATTTTCTTGTTTGTTTGTTTTTGAATTTCGCGCAAAGCTACACTGCGCTAGCCGTCCCTAATTTAGCAGTGTAAAACTAGAAGGAAGGCAGCTAGTCAACACCACCCACCGCCAACTCTTGGGCTACTCTTTTACCAACGAATAGTGGGATTGGCCGTCACATTATAACGCCCCCACGGCTGAAAGGGCCAGCATGTTTGGTGTGACGGGGATTCGAACCCGCGACCCTCAGATTGCGAGTCGAGCGCCCTAAACACCTGGCCCTTTAAATCTTGTAAATATTCTACGATATCAGCTTTTTTTTACACGCCACAACATAATTATCTTAGTGACTAGAATATGTAAAATATGGAAACCAAGCTTGAATGATATATTTACGTCGTGTTATTAGTATTATCGTCTCTCAGGAATATCAAAGAACATTATTATCTACAGAAAATACAAAGATAATCCTTCACATCCCAAAGGATGTAGAAGGTTTTGTGCGCGTGAGCATTTCTTGATTAGTCTAATTTTCTGCCGCATGGGAACCGACACGGATGCTCACGCCTACACCCCCCCCACCCACCTCCCTTGAGAACACTCACGTCTGCCTAGGCAATTGCCTAGTTAAAGGTTAGTGACCCGCACGTGCAAAAACAAGATCATGGTCAATCAACAAAATCAAAACAATTTTTAACTTTCAGGAAACAACTTGAAGATACTGTAAGTGAGAACCAAACGCCCACTGTTGATTTTAATTCTACATTGTGAGAGAGTACAGCTAATTTGCTATCATTGTAAACAATTACAATAGTAATAAATAATCCAATGGATTACTGGGGGGGAGACTTCAAGCGAAGTTATAATTCTTCATTACGAAACGAATTTTAATAAACAAACCATATCTAACAACAATTCACGCGATAATTCCTTGAAGGAGGGTATAAAAATGATTATGTAACGCTTTAAAAAACGCGGGTAATCCGCGTCCTGCCAAACATGCTCGCTCTTTCAGCCGTGGGGGCTTTATAATGTTACGGTTAATCCCACTATTCGTTGGAACACTTGGTTACACGTAACATTATAAAATAATAATAAACTGAAGTTGTTTTAAATATAATACGGTTCTACGAAAAAATATATTAATTAATTTCTTACCCGTTTTTCTGATCCACACCTCCATTGAGTACATGGAATACGGTTCTACGAAAAAATGATATTAAATAATTTCTTACCCGTTTTTCTGATCCACACCTTCATTGAGTACATGGAATACGGTTCTACGAAAAGATGATATTAATTAATTTCTTACCCATTTTTCTGATCCACACCTCCATTGAGTACATGGAATACGGTTCTACGAAAAAATTATATTAATTAATTTCTTACCCGTTTTTCTGATCCACACCTCCATTGCCAAATAATAAAGATTTGGGTCACGATGTTTCATTCGGAATTTGTTTAGTAAGATGCGAACGACCTCTTTGCTCGTAGTATATGGCCCAATGGAAAGTGTCTTGTATTCCAGTCAGCAGACAGCACTCGAGCATAGACTTTCACTACAATCTA